TGTCACGTGACTATCTGGTTTAACATTTTATCCCCTGCACCCAGTTAGGTTATTGCAAGTGTTCAGCAAATACATGCGAATGAATGAAGAAATTAATACATGAATATTCATACCATGGGTCTATTCATTATTAAAATTTTTGGTTTAGCTGCAAAATCCCTACAGTTAGTTAAACCAATTAAACTTTAACTTTTTTAAATTTAGCAACACAGAAAATATTTATTGAATGTGTGCTATATTCCAGGTTTGTGCTGGATGCTAGGCCTATAATGGCGAATTAAAGAATGGTGCTCTGTGTCTTCATGGAGCTTACAGCCTAGCTGATAGGGATCTCTGTAAATTCTGATTCCATCTAATTGAATCATTTTAGGGGTTTTGATAATTCACAGCAATTTCCATGTTTGGCTAAGTCACTTGGTCACCCAAGCAAATCATTAAAACATATATAAAGTTATAACTAAGATAGAACTTTCAATTTTAACCTCCTGAGGTAGGGTTTTTATTGATTTTTAAAATGTAATCTCTGTGCAAACAGATGCTATGTGAATACAGTGTTTAATATTTCTTAAAATTGTTTTCATATTATTTTAAGATAAATCCAAGAAAGAGTGGCCTTAAAAAAAAAAAAAGAGGAGTCTAGCATTTCTATTCAAGGTCATACCACTTTTCAGTGATCGATCTAGGACCACAACCCCTGGTTTCTAATTCCCAATGCTTCCTGGTTTCTCCTACAGGAATATTCCCTTTGCTTCTCTTCAATATAAGTGCTATTTCTAAACCACTGGTAGGCCTAAAAAGAATGAGACAGATGTTGCATGACCATTCATTCCTAGCAGGAAAGCAGGCAGCCTTTGGACTCTGTAATGCCATCTACCTATTTTTAGTGCAAGAAATACTTTTCTCCTCTGACAGGCTGCTGTGAATATAGATCCTTGTTTTAGGAATAGAACTCTTAAAACACCCAAGAATTCAATTATACCACATAGACTAATAATAAATATGTTCACTGTATTGGGAAATGTTACTTAATCTGAATTAGCAACACATCAAATTACCTCAAATCATGTGACAACAGCCTTTCAAAAACTGAATAGTGTGTGTGTTCTCCATTAACCATAGAAAGGAAAAGACGTGAATACAGAGATGGAAGACTTGGCACCAAGTCTAAACTTCTTCACTTACTAGCTGTGTGATGGAAGCTGTTTCAATTCATGTAAGACTAGAAGAAACTGTCAAAATATATATACTGCCGCCATTTTTTATAAGTCAGCAATTCAGTCTGATCACTTTGAATAGGCTTCTTTAGAGCCCTCTTAACCATCTCAAGGTAGTTATACTTTATTGGCTGCAAGAGTTAGTGACAATGAAATTTCAAAGTAGACAGTACCATACAGAAGTTTTATAACAGAAACTAAAAATGTACATTTCCTCACATAGGTATTTCCAAGGTCAAGAACCAGAAATTATTTCTACTCAGAATCATTGCAAAAATTTGAACTTTTTTTTTTCTTTATCTGACTCTTATTCTTCCTACATATACAACTCTGCCATCCTTTAGCAGAGGTATGAGATGGTAGAAGTTATATATGTTATATATACAGCTATTTAAGTGAAATAATCAGCCTGGTATGGCATTAAAAATGTGTCCTGGGCTCAGTATTCTGTGTTTGAGTTTAGGATCTGGTACTGTAATTTCAGAAAATAGGCTAGATTATCTCTAGTGCTCCTTTCAAATATAGCATGAATAGTGTATGTACACATGCAATAAACCTTGTATTTGCAATCAAATCTAAAAATTAATTGCAAAGTCAACCTTTATGCCCAATACTCTGTCCCTAGCTCCTAATATATTTAATTTCCTTTGCTTTGGAAATTTGATGCCAATTCCTAAATACCCATCTACCCACACCCCACCCACATGAATGCATACATACTCAATGAAATAAATTTTATTTACGTGTTCAAATGTGAGAAAAAATATTTTGTGAAATTAACCACTACTGTAATATTGTCTTCTCCAAAGCTTTCTTTAATATTATCTTCTCCAGAGTCATGACAATTTGAAAGCTAAATGTAGCTACTTTGCTAGAATTTAGGATCTATTCTGTCACACTCTTTTGAAAAAGAAGAGGGAGTTCTGATCAGGGAAAAAAGAATTTGGCTACCATCTAATGGTTCAGACCAAAGATGAAGAAGAAATAATCAACCTTGGGCCTGAACAAGCTTGAAGAAACTGTTTGACTTTCTCTCCTCTTTTAGGAAAATGAAGTACTTCTAATTAATTTTATATATGAAAGTCTTTGGAAGACAAATGACTAGCCCGAAGTTACACACTCAATAGGGTAGGGCCTGAAATATTTTTAGTTTACCACACTACATCTCTAGCAAACAACAGTGCCCCTTCTTGCCCTTCCTCCTTTCTCCCTCTCTTTCTTTCCCCCTCTTTCCCTCCCTCTCTTCCTTTCTTCCTTCCTTCCTCTCTTTCTTTGTTTTTTTTACTACTACTCTAATTTTTTACTTCAATCTGTTTGGAAGTCCCGTGACAAGACTATACAAAAGCCAATAGGCCAACACAAACAGAAGCATATATGCTATATTTCTCAACAAACAGCTTGAAGCCATGCACTTAATAAAACCAGCCGGATCAGATGGCATCAGAAGAAGGGACAGGCTAGGAAGTGTGCAGGGACATAGACTTATGGAGTTGACTGTGTGACCTTTTGAAAATTACTGATCAATGTAATCTATACCATGCAGAGATATTGTGACTGTAATTACTACATTCTGCTGGAGCTCAATTATTTTCAGCATTTAAGAATGCACATTCAAGAGATAATTTGTTTGTTTGTTTGCATGTATGTATGTTTTCTTTTGTTAAGACCTGCATTGAAATCCTAAAGCAATGAAAGGATAGAATGAAAGAATAATCTATAAACAGAAATCACAGCGCTCATACCCTTAATCAAAGAGAGACAATGCTGAACTGATATGACTATTAGTACTGTGTTGAGGTTAAAATAACCCCAAAATTTTTCCAAATGGGGCAAAATAAAACAAATACCTGAAAAGTTGTTTTAGAAAGCAGTTTTATTTGTGCTTTTTTTTCTCTTTATCTTAGCTTTACTCAAATCCTTCCTCTTCCTTTTCTTTCTCCTCCCCACATACTTTGCTTTTGGGCCTTTACAGCTTGTGGAAGGTAAATGTCATCATTCTGCTCTTTTGGTGAGTTACTTTATTAAACGAGGCACTGTTAATCAATTTGTCCAGACCCTTAGAACAGGGTGTTGTGTTTCATACTGCAGGGTCTCTTAAGGTTTTCTGTTTCACAGCCATGTATTCAAATCTTGATTAGATTTTAGGAATGAATGAGAAAACATTTAAGAAGAATTCACATCTAAATCTGTGGGGAGCAAATCTCTCAGGAAATGCACACAGAAGAGACCCAAACTGAGTCAGGGAACACATTTCCTTTCACCTTTTCTTTCAGCTTAGTTCTGAAGCACCTGTTCTTAAGTCTTGAGGCATTTCCCCAAGAACAACCTTTCTCTAACGCTGGCAATGCCTTAAATATTAGTCCTTTTTGACTCATTCATTCATTCCACAGATATTTATTAATTTTGGTTCTGTGTTAAGGTACAGGACATATGAAGATAAATGTGACATAATTCCTGTCCTGGGAAAAGCTTTAGTCCTGGGATGTAAAGAAGCGTATAGAATAAGGGAAGACAGAATGCCCTAGAAGGGGCTCTCTGGTGTATAACTCATTAACGGAACACATCACCATAAATGGAAAGGGTCTTCAAAGCAGCAGTTATAACTGCAATGGGACTTTACACAAACCACAGAAACCCCTGGTTTTTTTGTTTGTTTTAACCTTTTTGTTTTAATCTTTTTTCTGTGGCCACAAATGAAATATTGGGATTAGAAGTGATAAAATCGTGTCCGCCTTCCAGCCTATGGCCACTTTTCTGGCATGGGAGAGTCAATGCCAGAATGCAGATTTCCAGGTTTCTCTGAAACATTGGAAGTTCTACAAACCTAGTTCTATTTTCCCACAAGGCAACAGTTGACAGAATTTGGAGTTGTGACTATCCCTTTTGGGTATGGAACTTACTTTCTAGTCCTTCACAGTCATTTCTTCCAAGACTAACAATTATATTTTAAAACACTTTCGTTGCCCTTTCTTTCACCTGGCCTTTTACCTGCCTGTCCTCATAAGCATTAAGTCATGGAACATATGATGCTGATGAAGTGCTCATTGAACTAAAGGGACTATTTTCATATCTTTAGCACAATGGCTCATTCACATTAGGATTTAATTGCATATCTGATTATATAGTAACATGCGTGAGTCATTAAAGACAGCAGCATCTGTAGTCTACTCACTTCATGTATACAAGGCTCTTCTGTACAATAGAATAAAATGTATTACAAAGTAGAGAAAAACACCTGTTTTTTTTCTGTCAAAATCTCCTAGAAAACATGCCAGTGCTGATCTAGGGTTTTGCAACTGCATCCGTTATGGAAGGAAACCTCTCTTCCTTCTCTACAGGAACCTCTCAACATTTCTTCATGTGGTGAATTCATTTTGTCATGGTGTGAACACCTGTGTGACTATTTAAAAACCACAAAACCAGGTGTGTGCCAATGAGTGTCTCTCTCCTTTGTGAAATGTTCTTTGCACTGATTTCTCAGCAGGCTGGGTCGGGAAAAAGGCTTCAATCTGAATGTAGAAAAAGGTCTTAAAAGATTTTTTAAAATCTATCTATTACAAGTGCATTCACTGAAAATACTGCAGCTAATTTATACAAACAGGTCTTGACTTTATCAGATCTTTTTTGTTTTTTACTATCATGAGAAGAATGTTAGCATCTCTGGATATGCCACTGAAAGCTTATCATAAAAAAGGAAATTTTGAAAGGCCTACTAAAACCCAAAAATTTGGAAGATATTATATTATAAACACTTTAAAATATTTTTAAAAATAAAAATTGATTTACCTTTTGCTTTGTCTAAGGGTCTCCGTTCCCCTTTTCCAAGAGATAGCTGCCCTGGGAAAAGCATTTGGTTTGCATTCGATAACAATATCCCCACCAACTTGAACAAACGAATTTTTTTTAACTGGACTTTTGGAGAAATCTGGAGCTGAGGCTAAAAACAAAATTTAAAACAAAAATTTTTAATTACTTAATTAACATGTAGTGACTTAAGGGGTGACTTGCTATGCTAGACAGAATCTAATATTTATAGTTGTAACCTTTTCAAGTTACATTGCTCAAGGTGTTCTGGGACCAAATACTGACTTAACATTTTAGAGCTTATATTTTGTTTGTAAAATGAAGATAACAATAGAAATTACCTTAGGAAGATAGCGTGGGGAATTAAATGACATAACAGTTGCAGGGGATTATAGTACAGTGCTTGGCACAAAATATGGGCTCAAAAACTGTAACATATTTTTGTTTTGTTGGTGGTCATTGCAATAACAAAAGCAAGTTGGTAGGGAAGATGAAAGTTAGACAAAGTCACTTTTCTGATAGCATTTACAACAAAGGAGATAAAGAGACTGAAGAAGGATTTTAATCCTGACCAGGAAAGTCTATTTCAGCCAAAAAANAAAAAAAAAAAAAAAAAAGATCATATATATCACATACATACATACATATATATATATATACATGTACCTATATTTATATATATGTGTGTGTTTTTGATTTATTTCAGTTGTATTCTATTGCAGTTAGCACTGAAATAAATCAGACAACTTTTTGCTATTAGCAATAAAATACCATTGAAATACATCAGAAATACTGTATCATCATGTTGGCTTTCCCTTCGCTAAATAAATGTTAAACAAATGCCAGTTCACAAGCACAAGAAATTATTAGACTACTGGCGTGCATCTAAATCTTTCCAACTTCATGAATGTTGGAATCCATGTGTTCAACCACCATTCTTAATCTAAAGCTCAAGTGAACTGAATTTCTTGTAGATATACCTTGCTCTCTTGCTTCTGGGGTTTTCAGATGTTGCTTCTCTGCCCTTCACTTGACTTGTGTACATTTTTACTTGTGATCTTAGATTAAAGGGAATGTCCTCAATTTAGGTTATGTTCAATTCATCATCTGCAATGATATCAACTTCTCAATTCTTAGCCATGAGAATTGCCATATTTTAAATCTAACATTTTTTTGCTCCTTGAAATTATAGGTTCAGTGAAGATAAAGGTCACTTCATTTTGCTACGGCTCAGTACATAATAAATATTCAATCAAACAATTGTGATAGAAAGAATGAACAAATGAATGAGTGCTCATCACCCATAAGCTCATAAAACTTTGTGTCTTGTTATTTGATCCTTCCTCTCTTTTATCTCCTTTGTTCTTCCTACCACTAAGAAGGCCTTGGGTTGAAAGCTATCAGCGAGTCATTTATTGTGGCAGACACCACTGGCTGGATTTCCCAAAATATCATTTTCCAATTGCTTTAATCTCAGTACTTTCCAATATACGGACTTATCTTTCTACCTCCTCTTGATGTCTGGATGGTCATGTGACAGGGCTCTAGTTAATGACATAAAAAAAAAGTTTGCTCTGGAAGCTAAGGGAAATTCTTTCCTAATAAAACAGACAAATGTGATAAATTCTGTAACCTCCCTCTTCTTCTGCCTTGAGTATACACTTGATTTCTGTAATTACAGCAGCCATCTTTAAACCATGATGCTTTCATCATGAAGGGAAGGTATAAAGAATAACATTGTCAAGTTGAGGTGCCGTACCCGACAGCCAATGCCCCTCTTGTTAAGAGATAAATAAAACACTGTTTCTTTTAGTCACTGTGAATTGTGATAAATTTTATTACTTTTTAATTTGCAGCTGAAAATATACCTAATAGATATTTTTTGAGTGATACTCAACAATTCCTGCTAGAATCAGCTTTGGAAGAGCTTCTTCTGGTTTAGATGCACTCAGAGGTGGGTTTTTTTCTCAAGCCCCAGCGCACTGCCCAAGCAGAATAATAATCACCACCTTAAATTTTGTAAAAAGCTAACTTAGACATTTCCCATTATTTAATGAGACAGCAATTGCTAATTCACAAAAAAAATTGAGTTCAGATTATGCATAATTATAGCTTGCTAAAATGTCATTTTGAATTTGTTGGTTGTAAATGAATGACTTACCTAAAACTCTCAATTCAGCATTTGCATAAATTATCTGATATTTGTTTTCTGCAGCACATTGGTAGACACCAGAATCCGACACATTCAGCATCGTTATGATGAGTGTCCCATTTTCTATTTGAATTCTCTCCTAATAAAGGAAAAGGTATACAAAGATGCTTGTCTGTTAATGTAGCATTCTCTTAACCAGGATATGTTATTAAACAACATTTGTGTATATCTATGAAATCTGATACTTTAGTGTATTAATATACTACTAGATCCTGAGCAGCATGTCTAAGTTTAAAAAATGAAAATATGTTTAGGATAATTTTAGTGGTTAGTAGTATGTTTTATATTATCTCATTTATTTGACAATTGGCATGCTTTGCACAAAATGTATGTTAACTTCCTGTTATTTGGTATACACAATAATTTGGAATACTCCACCATCCAAATTATTCCAGAAAACATGACTAACAATAATATTAGATATGCATCTCATGACTAGAACATCACCTTGGCTTTCCATTTTCCAAAAGTTTCAAAAACATTTGAAATGTAACGATGTGATAATTTTCTAATTGAGTCCTAAGTTGGAGAGCTAAATCCTTCCTTTATATAGCCTACTATAAAGTGTGTCTAAACAGCCAAAATCTGTTACAAAACACCATTTAGGGTATAGAAATACACTTTGAGTGCACATAAGTGCACATAATGACATAGTGGTACATATATAACTTAAGACTAAATATTTCATGGTACGTATTGCCATCCTCTAGGGAAGCGGAAAGTAGGCTGGAGGAAACAGAATGTTAAATGCAAAAGGCATGCAGGAAGAAAATTCCACTGATGCTGAAACAAAGAACAGCATTATATTCTGCTTCCAAACAACAGATTTTCTTTGTGTCTCTGGCTATTCTTACACGTGCAAAGTAAAATGAAGAATTAACACAATTATCTGGATAATTCAATAGATTAAAAAAACTCATTTTCTCGGTATTGTAGAAGAAAGTATGTTTTAAATTGAGAAATGTGGATAACTGCTTTAGTTCTTTACTTTCCTCGGGGTTTAAAGACAGTCATCAGTTTTCATAAAACCAAGATGTTGGGTAGTGACTAAGAAATTGGGTTCTGGTATCAGACCAAAATAAAAGTTTAAAATTCTAATTATAACATTTACTAGGTGCTGTGTGACCTTAAACAAGTAGCCTAACCTCTTTGAAACTCATTTCCTTTAACTAATAAAGGAATAATAATTGTATTTCTCTCATAAGGCTTTTGTGAGGATGCAATGAGATAACGCATGGAAAAATATTTTATCACAGGGCTTGGCTCGTATGACAGTTCAGTAAAAGTTATCTGTGTCAGTGATGATGAAGAATTATGAATCTATTACTGACTAGCTGTGTGATCTTGTGAAAGTTATTTGTCTTCTCTACACTTATTTTTCTCATTTGAAAGGTGAGTTACTTTGCAAGTTTATTTAAGGATTAAATAAATCCGTGTAGGCTTCCTTTCCTGGAACATACTAAAGACTCCCATAACATTAGCTGTTTCTGTTAGCTACTAGTACTGCTAGTAACAAAATTTACCTAGTAGAGTAGGTAAACTTTTAATATCAACATAGTTGCTTACCTCTGGGTTGAGTCGTTCACCGTTTTTTAACCACGTGTACCAAGGGTTTGGTTTTCCACTAGCTTTACATTCCCAAAGCAAGCTGTCATAGATAGAGAGGTATGTATTTTGTATTTTCTGTTCCCATTCTGGAGGAGCTGTTTCAAAAAGGCAAGTGCAATTGTTTGGTAAGGCAATTATCCAAGACAGTATACAACATTCCAGGGGCTGCATAGATCAGAAAGACAAGGCTAACAGGGTCAAGTTGGATTTCACACACAAAATTTGAGGGAGGGGAAACGCAGGAGCTTCAATGTGGGGTGACAGAAATCCTGCAGCAAGTATCATTGGGCATCTGGCTCAAGTTAAATGTTTGTCATTTGTCATTTTGCTGCACCTGTATAACAACTTGGGAGCTGTGGGAAAAAGTCAAAATGTAGAAAAAGGCCAAGGAATAAGTCCATGCTAAATATTAGAACATAGGTCAAGTTAGAAAATGTATATCAAATATGAACCTGTGTAATGAATCTGAAAGTTCACTGATTACATTTGTTCTAAACTAAAAGCAATAAATCTGTACCTATATCAGACACAACTACAACTCAATACCTTGAAGCATAAATCAAACAGGAGCCTCCTCACATTTTGGTAGAAAAATAATCCAATATTCTTTTTTTCTAGATAAAACTCTTGACAAGAAATGAGAACATTTGGAGTTGTATAAAGGTTCAATATCTTACTTTAATCCTTGGTGGGAGTTTTCCAAATTTTGTCTAATTTGAGAAATTTCTTCATAGTACTAAGGCAACAGGCAACTGGCATAATTGATGTGAAAGTAAGATTGTATTATTTTTACCATTATTTATGGAAACAGGCTAGTTGGAAATTAAATGTTTTAACATGAATATCTCTTTCATGAGCTGACTAGAAAGTGCCTAGAGGTGCCAATTAATCACTCTCCTTTAGTTATGTCTTTGGATATATAGAAGCACATGATGTTTCCCTTGGACTCTCAGGCTGTGACAAGCCCCACGCTTTATATTTGTAATTGCATTTAATTTCCTGTACAATCTTTTCTGCGGATTCTTGCAAAGATGTTAGGTAACCTGTAAAAGACCACATGGTAGAAAACAAGGAAACCAAAATTTGAACCCTAAAAGCAGAACCTAAGTAAAGGGCTTGAGTTCCATGTGTTTATTTGAGAATGCTAGCCCAAGGGAAAATTATCAGGAAAAGGGGTTGTCACAGGAAAGTAAAAAAAAAGTCAATGCAAGGATGAGTTATTGAGTTGACCACCAACATGATCCATTTTTCTCTCTCTCATGCCAACTTCTAAGGAGTCTTTATGAGCTGTCTACCCAGCGAAAGCAAAAGAAATCATTTATTCACTAGTTCCCATTCATGGTCATCTAAGGGTAGCACAGGTGTAAACTACTGGCACATCCAGACTGTGCATGCTTAAATGCTGAATAGACTCATGAAGGAGCCAAAGAAAACCCAGAACAGGAAACAAGATGTACTTAGTTTGGCACCTGAGACAACACTCTTTCAGGTTACCCGTACAAAACACAATGCTGAACTGGTCACTGTAGAAATGGTTCAAGTAATAAGAAGTCGGGCCAAGAGGGTTCAAAATTGTATACAATATAAAACCCAAGTCTGTCTGCCTTCTAGAGTTTTTCTACTGCAAAACTGCCCCCCCCTCAAGACAGAAGACCCTCCAATGAGCCTATGAAAGAGTAAAAGCAATCATGATGTCTCTGGGTGGTGGGAACTAAGCCTAGGATTACCTCTTGTGGAAATCAGGACAACCTCCCGTTATAGAATATGCTTCCTGAAGCCTTGAGGGACAAATCGAGGCAAAACTTAGAACTGGGTGTATTGATGAAATAGAGCCATGTTTCTGGGTATTATTAATAAAATTATATAATTCATAGGTACTTGTTTAGAAATTGCCCTAATTAATATATGTTTGATCTGGGAAAAGAAATACATGCTCATATATAATTTCACATAGCTTACAAAGGTTTCAGATATATCTGATTTTATACTTAATGCAATAATTGTAGCTTTAGAGCACATTCATTTATTTAATGTGCACATTCTTTAGATGATTAAAATTCTGCAGAGCAAAGTTGTAAATTTTCAACTAGGTAGGAAACTCATGGGAGAAGATGCTTAGGATTTGGGGCCTACCATACAGGCTTGAGTTTTAGACTTTTTTCTGCCATATTGACTGGTTATGAAAAGTCACTTAACTCTTCTGAACATGTTCTATTTTCTGTGATGAATAATACTTTAGAGATTTCGTTTGGAGGTTATAAAACTACACTATATATGGATATATAATATTACTTGGTTCTGAATTATAACGTAAACACAGCAATATAATTGAGACTGAGAGATTCTTTTCTTGAATTTCTCACGTATTTTTCAACTCTGAGGTAATTAGTCAATTCTCTTTTCTTTTGGGAGCACTTCAGAAAGTGAATTAATATGTGACTAAGAAGCATAATGATTATGTTATTGACCAGGTATCCATTATTACCCACAATGACCATTTCAAGCTCATTAAATGGCTAATTTGGTTGTGATGAGATATAGTACAATGAATTTAGACCACCATGTTGAAATGCTATGACAGAGTCCAGTTTCAGAAGGCATTTCAACGTACTAATCTTGAATCTGACAATCACTATCTCTGAGATCCTGCACAATTAACTTAAGAATTTTTTGCCTATAGTATCACTGAAGATTATTTCTACCTCTAAAGATTAATCATAAGATTTCTACTTCTTAAGATTAAGAATTATACAAATGAATGTGTATAAAATTGCTATGTAAGCTAACATTTGCTATATCAGTGTAGAGAAAAATACTTTATTATTGATTTTTAGTTGATGGATACCTTTGTGTTCTGGTTCATCTCTTGGTTCTATCTTTGTATATGAAATATAAAAATGGAAAATATGTCTTTAAAACTAGCCAAAGCATTCAACATCTTAATTCTACTAAAAACTCTCATTTGCATCCTATTTTATTTACAAAGAATGCTAAATTCCAAAGACTTTCCTTTAAAGTGTAGGCACTATTGAAAAAAAATACATTGTTTTTCTTGGCTAGCTTTGCTAAAACTGTAGGAGAATAATGAGTAGGAAATCATATTCTATATATAAAATAGTAGTTTTCATTGCAGGTTAAAGTTGAAAATTCTAAAGAAAATGGAAAATCGTATTACAGACATTTAATATGTTCTCCCCACAGGACAATCAATCAGCATTCGTATGGAGTAATTACAGTATCCTAAATTTTTCTAGTTATTACACACACACACACACACACACACACACACACACACTCTCTCTCTCCAATTACTTTATCATTGATTATAAACATGTCACATAAGAAAGTATTTTTGGCCACATATAAATACTTTTTTAAAGTTATCTAATACAGATATATTGAATTTACTGAAGAAGTTAAAGATATTTTAATAGTAGACCACATTTTGAAAATTCTGAGGTATATTTTACGGTTATTTAATGTAAGTAAGAGAAAATTTCAAGCCTGGATAAAAGAAGACACAAAGACAGCATTTAGATAATATATGTATTCATCATCTCACTTAAGTTTATGAGAGATTTTGGTAACTGAGACAAACATAATTTTTAATAATGAAATCACCTTATTTTTACATTATCTACTTATGGGTAGGCAAAATATCAAAAATAGAAACAAATATTATAAACCACCATGCAGTATTATGTTTTCACTATCAATTTTTTCCTTTATTTATAAATTCTACTTAGTGTTAGAATTAGGATTGCTATAATCTGCTACAGAACGTGTTATGGGAAATATATGACATGCTACCTTTTATTATAAACTTTTATGGCTCTAACAGGATACTACTGATATTTTCAAGGCAATTATAATAAACAATAGCATTCAAAGACCATGCTAAAATTAAAATCATATTTTAAAGATGGTCATTTCCATCTGCTAATCATTGTATTAAGCATCTAAATCTGAAAATATGCCTTCCTTATTTCCACATGACATTTTTTCACAACATGCTAATGAGTTCCACAGTTTATTATGAAGGGCACTACCAAATATTTTATATACATCTGAAATTCAATTAGCTTACCATAAAAAATGAGTTGACCCTTTGCAAGGTTTCTTCCTCGAAGGTTGCTTGCAATGCACTCATAAAAGCCTTCATCTTCTTGTTGAAAGTTCGGTATTTCAAGGATAGCTTGGGATTTGCTGTACTTGACTTTTCCTGGCAACGGGCTTCCGTCCAACTTTCTCCAACTAATATCAGGGACTGGACTAAACAGTTATACCTCATTAGAATAGAAGATGATGTAGTCTTTATGACAGCAGAATAAAACAAGAGCATCCTTACAAACAACTCTCAAGAAAAATATTCTAATCATCTATTGCATTATGACTAGCTTCCAGATCATGCAATCATTCACCATTCACTCAATCAGTCATTTATTAAACACTTTATTAAGTGTGTCATATGCAAGTCACGGTGCTATGTTCAGTCATGGAAAATATTGATGAATAAAATAGGTATGTCCTCTTCCCTTATGTTGCTTACAGACTAGTGGAAAACATACCATAAACAAATAATAAAAACAAATACAGTTGCAAATGGCAATAACTGAAAGAAATAGGGTGTAGAGATAGTAATAAGATTATGTTAGTTTATTATAGTGGTCAGGAAATTATTTGCGAGAACATGACATTTAAGACTAGGCAGGCTTTATATACATTTATAGTTTCTATGGCAAAAAATGTAGTGTTCTAGAGCTAAACTGGTACTAATAGGTAACTGAAGACATGTGATGAGTGAGCTAAAATATTTCCAGGGAAATTAGCACTATAAAATAGACCCATATGAACTGGTAAATAGGCTCTATGGTTCTCAAAAAAATTCTCATTTATACACTATTTAAAAAATAATAACAAAATAAAGCTGGATTTACATACTGTCTCCTGTTATACAGAATTTATAAATAAAGTAACTTTATTAATATGAATTTAGTCTGCTTTCTCCTATTTATTTTTAGTCTAATATGGGCATCTTTTAAAGGATCAAAAACACATGTTATAATAAATGAAACATGTTATAAGTGTTTAACAATAAGAAATGGATTTAGAAATTAATGGTTTAGAAGGCATAATGTAAGAACAGGCAGGCTCCAAGCAAAGTTCCAGAAGGAAAATATCCACTACTAAACTAATGATATGTAAAATGAATTCCCAGTCTGTTCACATTAACATCTCTCCTTTCCTCTTGTCAAGTCATTCTTCATTCCCTTATAGATTTTCAGATGGTTTAAATAATTCTATTCTAATTATATTTCAAATTATTAATAATAATGGTAGTAAGTTATTTTGCAAAGTCAATTTGTAAGCCTTGAAGAAGAGGAAGAATTTCTTCAAGTCAGCAGAAGTAATGTGGGAGACTCATCCAATTACATGCAAAGCAGTTGGCAAATAAAGATTTGAAGACTTTGAGCAGTAAACAACTGCAGAAAGTTGGGGATGACTCAGTAGAAGCTTCAAGCAAGAAAACTTATTAAGCCTTAGACATTTTTATTGGAAAAAATTATGATCCTCCTGTGTACATCAAGGATAAAGTACAAGAATAAAATCAGATGCGCTCAAACATATTTCCCAGAAAATGTGCCCGAAATCAATGTTTGATTCATCTATTTGTCTCAGAATTAGCATACAACTACAGTGAAAATTTGTATTTTGAATTGTCTTAAGTACAAAATAAACTTGTTATTATCCTATACTAAGTTTTTGTCCTTCTGAAAAGCCTTGTCACTTATTACAAATTTAAGTTGACATTTCAATAAATTGGCATATTCTTGGCAACAATTAACCTCAGATAACTGATGTTCTTTTTCATTCATTTTAGGGCATATCAAACCAATAAGAATGAAATTCCAGAAGAAAATTTATTCACATAGATATTCACAATGTCTAGTGAATTTTATAGAATGTGAGGTATTATTCAATTAAAAATACAAATGTTGTGTATATTGAGGTGAAAATTTTATCTATGGGTAGTTGTGATTTAAATGTCTTTTATTTTCTCCTTTCTGCTTATTTCTAATTTTCATTATTTCCCTACAATGCACATGCATTACAAGTGTAACAAAAATTTTCTAAGAAAAAAATTTTACAAAGGAAATAAAAAGCTCTAATATTTATCTGAATTCATGATTCATTATCTTTTTATGACAGCAAATCTCTGAGATTTATGACAAATACATGCAAAGTATACCACTGAAAAAGCTCTTAATCTAAAACATTCAGACAAAGTAGAAGTAAAAATTGTGTATTTTTCCCACTGCTATATCTTAGTTCTCTATATTAATTGTGAAGACAGATGTCATTTTTATATAACTAAATACCTAAGTAATTGAACATTTTGACAATTATGATAATTGTAATAACATCACAACAAATAGCTACCTTATATGCATATATTATACAGACTAACAGTACCTGTACAATACAGAGTACCAGGTACTGTGTATCTGTATAATATATACATATGATTTCACTTACTTTTCCTAAAGCTAAAGAGACAGAGCTGAGATTCATTTCCAAGTTACTGGAAAAGAATTCTGACTTCACAGATATTGTATTAAGTTGGGGCAAAAATAATTGTAGTTTTTGCCATTAAAAGTCATGGCAAAAGTACAATTACTTTTGCACAAACCTAATTGGATCATTCCCTTGCAGCCTAGGTATTTGTTACTTTACAGAAGTGCATCTCCATTTTAAGTGGCCAAATTGTGTGGGCATAAAAAGAACAAGTCCAGCCTTTTGGAGAAGGTGGAAGAATTCCACCTTTTCCACGGAAAAATAACACAGTCACAACATTAAAGTCTTGCTGGACAAGCATTTTCTCCTCTTGTTAGGAGAAATGGGGTATCCTATGTAGACATACTTTTCTTAGAGGAACAATGTAGCAGAAAATGTCAGTGCTAGACTCATATACCTTCTAATTCTTCTTCTGCCCCAGATTCTTATGTACTTTGCACCCTTAAGAGCCAGTTCATGTTATCTCTTTTTGGACACTGTCGTCAAGCTGCTATAGCTAACTTATCTTCATAAAGAAAGAACTGAAAGTACCTAGGAATTTACATGCCCCCAGGAGGAGCCCTTAACCAATCACTGACTAGATTCTAGGGTATAACTTCTCCAGCTTCTATGTCCCTGGTTGTGGGACAAATCTCTGTGTGACCTGTATTCTCTTCAGAGCTATAGGACTGAGCCAAATTTATCTTCTGTGGAACTTTGCTTGACACTGTACTGAGCATGGCTGCTTTCCCTTCCCTGCCCCACTTCCCTATTTTCCTTTGGGTTCTTTCTAAGATCTCATCTAATAAATCACTTTTAAAAAATTATACTTTCAGGATCTGCCTCTTTAAAATTCAATTAATTAGAATTCCCAATAGGCTCTGATCATGTACTACTCTAGTTACAATACCAAATGTAGGAAACCTTTAAATATTTCTTATTATAGTACTTTTATATAGGCATTAGACACACATCAAAATAGAAGTCTGGAGAATTGAACATCAATTGCATATAAGACAAAAAAATTAGTAGTAGAACCTTTGTGAAAAACCACAAATTGTGGAACATCTGTTGGCAACTTATTGCTCTGCAGAACGTGGTCACACCAGAATGATATCAAAAGGCACGAAACATAAGAGAAATGAGGCTGAACAGAGACAGGAAAGTCTCATTTAAAAAAGAAACACTTCTTTAATTTTCTTTCTTTCTTTTTCTTTCTTTCTTTCTTTCTCTCTCTTTTTTTCTTTCTCTTTGGAGTTATAAGTCTGATAAACCATTCAATTAAGAAGATTATAATATTCAGGGTACAGCACTGGGCTTTAAAAGTAACAGTGTTCAATTTTGAAGGTTACAAGAATTGATGTCCTGGATTCTAAATCTGCAGAGGACATTTGTTGTTTGCTTTTTAAATTATTTTTGCCTGCATTTTTATTTTCCTTAGAAAACCCAATCCTCCCAATCTCCTTTGAGTTGGGCTGATCACACCTCTGGAATTAGGTGAGAAGACATAATTCAGGTCTTGCCATCAGAGAGAGGCTTGTGGACCATGGCCACCTTGACTAGACAAACATGGGGATGAAGACAAACCAATCAGAGACAATTAGACTCAGTTCCAGGACTGCTTGCAGGATGGCCACTGAAGAAGGAATCTCTTTCTACTGAGGTTTTTTTGACACAGTGAGTCATAAACTCCAAAATTCTAGTCAACAATTTTCTGCCAAATAGAGAAAGCATCTCTGAAAGCTGAAGCTAACACAGAAAGGAAACTTGGTATTCTTCACACACCTAACTCAAGTCATGCTTGGTGCCTACCATCCCCCAAAAAACAAACAACCAAACAAACAAATCTTCTAAACATTTCAATTAGCATATATATATTCTTTTTTCCTTAACCCCGTTTTGTCATTTTCCTGCTATATTCAACCAGAAGGGACCTGACAAATTGATTCAGAATGCCTCAGTTCAAATGCTAGCTAGGTTAATTTCTATCTGTGTGATTGAATTACATGATATAGTGGATTTCTCCTGGATATTATATTGTGTGCTCTAGATATTTTAGAATCCTCACAGCAAAGAAAAACAAACAAAAGATCTAAAAATAATGACTTAAAAAGAACTTTAATTAAGAAAAGTCTAATAAAGTGCATTTTGGGGCAATAGTTTGTGTTACAAAATTTTTAAAGGGAGAAAATTCAAGCCGATTTATAAAATTTCACAGTTCCTAATGAAATGTTGAGATTTTTTTCAGCTCAGTTATATAACTGCTAAATTTGAATGCCATGTTCTTCTTATCGTTGGTAATGTAAGGTACAGAGGCAGAAAGAATAAATGCAAAACACAGGTTATTTAAAAATATGTATGCATTTTAATGAGCAATTCCCAGTTCATCCCAGAATTTCTTATGAAGGCACAAAGTAAACAGCTTCAAATTTCACACCATTTCTCTTTTCTGAAGCCATCCTAGATGGACAGCAGGTGGGAAAAAAAAAAAAAAAAAACTGGAATCAATTAAAAACAAAATTAGTTTAGTAGTGAGCTTTACTGTTTTAATGTAAGTGAATTTTTCCAAGAGATACCATTCTGTGTAAATAATAATAATTATTATTACAATAAGGTTTACTAGTATAATACTATGTATGTAGTGTAGAGAGAAATGTGATTCTTATCCTTAGCTAAACTTTGTTGTGCATTTATAAGCATGAATCTTCTTTACATGG